GCTGCTGGTTTTGAACAAGTCTCAAGCCACTAACATCACTGCCCTTCTCTGCCTGCACTGGCCCCCTCTGAGCCCCTCCTTGCAGGCAGAGGGGGCCAGGGAGGGCGGTCATGGGGGCAAACATCAGCAAGGGTTAAATGTGCCATCAGCACCCAGGAGGTGCAGGAGTCCCTTGGCCCCCGCAGCCCAGACGTGGCTGTGTCTGTCTCATCACATGCTTACCTGTGCGCTGAGGTGAGGGGCTGGCAGCACCAGGGCAGAGCTGCCAGGGCCCCCGAGCCATCCCGCTGCCAGCCGGGGGGGGGTCTGCAAAGGGTTTTGCTTCGCCCCAGGTCTGGCCCCACCGGCCAGGGCTGCAGCCAGTTGAGCCAGCAGCCATGGCACAGCACACGCCGAGCCACCGGGCAGCCTGCGTGCGCCACACACCAGCAAAGAGCACGGAAAGTAAGAAAAGCCTGACAGATGTCCTGTGAATCAGGGTTTTGGGGAGCTAGTTTATATGGAGCCACGGGGGCAGCCCCTCGCTGCCAGATCTGTCTGGCTCCCTCCGGATTCACTGCCCTCTCCGCACCGCCGACTTCAGCCAGCGGGACCCCGTCCAGCCCAGACCCTGGCGCAGGGATGCACAGTGGAGACGGGGCAAGTGCCAAGCATGGCGGGGGGAAAAAGAAAGAGACAACAGTCAGAAATACTCACAGAGGCAAAATTTAATGGCAAGTCATCTTCCCTCCTTTATTACACCTTGGTTAGCCAAACAAAAAAAATTCTGCAGGTAAAAAAAGTTTTAATGGTCACACAGCACTTTATACATATATCGTAAGCAACCAAGCATCCACATCTGCACATGAACGACACACCTCTAAGCATGGCCTCAATAGTCAGGTCTTTTTTTTTTTTTTTTTTTTTTTTTTTCATTAAATACTGTACAGAATCAAGGCTACAAACTGATTTTGTAATGCTTCTTCCCCAACCCCAGCACTTAAAACAGTTACAGGCTGCTCTCATTTGTACATCACACAGTCATGTAGCCAGTTTTAAGGCTAACAATATGCATCATGCTTTGGCTTTTTTTGTGTGTTTTTAATGTTTTTTTTTTTAAGGTTTTAGCCTTTTAAATTTTCTTACCCTTAAATATTACATACATACACAAAAAATTACATAGCTGCAGTGTGCTCACCACCAACCTCATCACCCAGGAGCTTCACATTATCAAAAGCTTTAGAAAATTTGTAAACCTCTGCGCACGCTTCGGTTTGGGACAGCCAGCTACGGAGTGTGATTGATGCCAGGGGTAGCGGCAGCCGGGGAGCAGCGTCCCCTTCCAGAAGGCCTGTACACACCTCCTCGGTAGGAAGCCCCAGGAACCTGTGCAAAAGCTCTTGATTATGATCAGAGGAAACAAAGAGACTTCTTGGGCGAAGGGGAGGACTCAGCGGCCAGGGACTGCGCAGGACACGCAGCAGGCCGCACTCCTC